CAACATGACAAGTTCATCCTGGAGATTAAAGAGCACACATCTTCCACTCCAGAGCCAGGAAGTGATGCTCAATGTAAGGACCAGAGCTTCCCCAAACTGAACCACAGCCACTCTCACCAACAAAGTCTTGAGCTCCTCTAATGATAATAGCCAAACTCATATTGGACAAGCTAATCATGGCGAGCTCCTCCAGGAGCAACAACAGCTCAAAACAGCAACACTTATGAGAACCCAAAATGCCTAGCACTTCTCCCCATCTCTATTTATGCTGGCACCTTTCCTCAGGTGGACCTTCTGTACTCAGCACCATGCTGCTTTAATTCAGCTGGTGTTAAATTGACCCAGTTTTTAATCCATCACAGAGTATAAGTGTGTGTCACTATCTGGCATGTAGGTCCTACACTTGTATAGTACTGGCAGTGTAGTAAGTTTATTTGTAACCGCATCACCATATACATTCCAGGGTTGGGTTGCTCTAGGATATCATAATTGCTACACCATCACTAAGTGATAAGATTCTTTCTGTCCCAGTATAATTGCATACAACCACTATATGGAGTTAATCATAAATCAAAACATCTTGGTGTAGCATATGATAGTAAATGGAGAATCAATGGTAAATTATATAAGAAAAATTTTATCCAGTAACCCAGGTAGTCTTCTCTACGCACATTATCAAGCTGTGATGATAAAATCAGTCTGGTGTGGCTCCCTCAGACACACTAAATGTACCAGTAGAGAAAATTCAGAAGCACGCACCCTACAAATGTTAATGTCTTCATCTTCATTTGGCTCAAAATATTTTAAAATTTCTATTGCTACTCATTTGACTTATGTGCTAACTAAATATATACTATTTAATCTCCAGATATTTGGGTGGTAAGGGTTCAACTTATTTTTATTAAATGATTTCCAGCTTTACTCTCCTTATGGCCTGAGATCAGACATCACTAACTTTAAATGTGTTAAGGTACATTTGGTGACTCAGAATGGGACACATCCTGGTGAATGATCATTAGGAACATAAGAATTTGCACTCAGCTGTTGTTGGATGAAGCATTCTGTAAATATCCATTGGAGCCAACTGAGAGAGGGTTCTCTGCAGTTTCACCCTATTCTTGGTGGTTTGACTGATCTGTCATTACTATTGGTGGAGAGTGTTGAGGTTCTAAAACAATAGTGGATTTACCTATCAGTTCTAGATTCATATACTTTGACCTGTTGCTAGGAAAATGTTCACTAAGTATTGCTGTTTTCTTGTAGACTTTTCCATCATTTTGCAATGCCCTTCCTTATTCTTGACAATATGCCTTGCTCTGAAGTCCATTTTGTTTGAAATTACATGATGTTAACAAGCTTAAATACAATGTGTAAGGTACCTCTCTTTTGAATGAGGCAAAGGGCAAATTAAGAGAATAATCAAGGATGGGAAGAAGGATGGGTCTCCTGCAATAGGGAAGAAGAACGTGGGAACAGGGACAAATGGTAGGAGGAGAGAAAAGGGAAACAAGAATAAAGTTATGCCATGGACAGGAACCTAGTAACCTCAGTTAAAATGCAAGGAAGCCTCAGACAGAGTAAAACTAGCCCTCTACCCTCTTCGTTTCTGTTTCTCTTCGGGCTTCCATGCCTTCTGAGTAAGTAGGATTCTCCGCTCAGTTGTAACTGTAGCTACACTGGCTAGTGGCTCACATTGCTCACTTCAGACAACAAAAAGACACAGCTCTTCCCTTTTGACTCAGTGTGAAAAACCTGAGAGGGCTCTGATTGACTCACCTTGGTTCACATGACCACCTTATTCATCCAGGGGAGAACAACTGAATTCACACAGTTGGACTACAGTAATCATTCTTCTGGGATCCCTGAGAGCAGTGGAGATGACAGACCATTCATATATGTTAGAGTGGGAGAGCTATTTCCCCAGACACAGGGGTGTGCTTGTCCCAAAGGAACGCTGATGGTAAAGGCAAACACTGCACATCAACCAAACCTGCAGCCCCAAATACTACAAGTGTAACAGCTGTTTCAACACATGGAGATGCAGGATCTAGGGAATAAACGGTTCAAAAATAAAAGTAGTCTTTTGGAAAATACTTAAATGAATTTACCTTATCCTCACTGGGACTTCACTAATGCTAAACTTAAAATCTGTAAGAATACCCATACTTTGAAAAGAAAAAGAAAATCCACACATTGAATGAATCAGGATTTTGAAGAAGAGGATCATTTTTTGAGCATTCTACAGTACAAAATTACTGTAAAACATAAGGGAAAAGTAATTATTCTGTAATTCATAATTCATACTCTCAAGGTTAAATCAAGAGTCAGCTATACAGAAATAAACAACGATCAGAGAATTGGAAAGTCTTCCTGGAGATGAATGAGACTGGAAGCAGAAGGAAATTGAATCAGTGAATTAGAAGCTCAGCTACAAGAACTTTTCTGAAAACCTGTCGGGAATGAAAATTATAAAAGGAAGGATGTCAGAAAAATAAGATAGATCTATGAGATCACAGACTCCAAAGCAGAAAGGAAAACAGAATGGAGTAATTTAAAAGGAGAAATTTTCTCAAACTAGAGAAGTATTAGACAAGATTCATGGGAAAAGATTCATAACTAGCTCCAGCAGGTAGAGTGGCTAAACCTCAAGGTTAAATTACTATGGTCTGAATCTGGAGCACCCTCCACAGACTCTGGGGTTCAGAGGTGGGCTTTTGAACGCAAGCTGTGCTAGCTGACTTGCTAGTGAGAGCTGGAGTCTGGTAGGAAGGGTGCATCTCCCTCCCCAGCTCCTCTCCTCGCGCTCTGCTTCCAGGTCACCATGATGCACGCAGCTCTCCTCCTCCAGACCTTTCCACCATTCCCTTCACACCTTGGAACAGGAGACTATGGACTGAACCCTCCACAAGCTTTAGACAAAATAAACCTCTCGTAAATTGAGGGTGTTGGCTATGGTGTGTGGCAAAGTGTCCAATATATAAGTAAACCTTACAAATATGCAGAAATTTTTATAAAACATTTCTTAGGAAGGAAAGATAATTGGATTGTGCCACCCACAGGGCTCCATTTTAGCGACTGAAACACCTCATCCATTCACCAAATATTAAATTCTTACTATGTGCTACTTAGAGGTTGGAGATAGAGCAGTGAACAAACTGGATTAAGGCTCGCCTGTGCAACTTAATTACATTCGCAGGGGAATAAACAGACGTCCATGGACAGAGTAGAGAACCCTAGTAGAACAATTTCTGCCCAGGAAGAATTTCTTTCAACATATTTAAATGATGATACACTCATTTTCCTTTGGGAGACACTGCATCAAGCGAGAGTAAATTAACAGATTTGTATTTTTTCCTAAATAGCTAGGCAGTCAACGGGGATTACAGCAGCTCAACTCCAAGTTAACTTCGGAGATTCTGACTGCTCCCCCTTAAGAATATACCCTGTACCCACTCTGTATCTATCTCTCTCTCTGTTTCGATATACTGTGGTAGAGTACCAAGAACCAGCATTTAATAGGCATCACTGGTTGCATTCAGTCAGGTACTCTGTAACACTAAAAAACCCAGACTTAAGGAGTTGAGGGAAAGTAACTGACTTTTAAAATATTCGTAATGAAATACAATCACTTCAAAGATTGGGACTATATAATATTGATCATTGCTAAGAACACAGATAAGCAGCTCCATGAGGAAACTCAAGACCACTCACATTGACTTTTAGGTATCTTCCCATATGCAGACATTGTCAGGGTGGAAGTGGTGACCACAGCGAACCCACAGACAAAGCGGGAAAACCTAGAAGCAGCCTCGGTTTTTTCCTAAAATGCAACACCTCACCTGGTTGCACCCCTTTTTTAGGACTTCTCCAACCACGCTCTCATGAAAACTTTGGATTTACAGTCATCGTTAATCTTTCGAAGGTTTCAGAAGACATTTTTTGATTTTTAATTATTTTTGTCCAATTCAGCTGCATTTGAAGAACATAGGTGACAGTATGGTCATCTTCACTTAGGGAGGTGGGCAAAATACAAAATAAATTTCAGCTCCCATACGCTCATCTCCATTGTATTCTGAAGAAAAATAGGCTGCAAGAGGAAAGAGGAAAGATAAAAATCTAGGACACTGTCATAAAGCCAGATAAAAAGATGTTTAACAGTATTTTGAAACATTGATCATTCTCGACATTTCCTTGACATGAATTCAGATGAATGGCTTCTGTGTGTGCGAAGCCCGTTTTGAAACTTGCCCTGGTCCTGCTTAGAACTTGAGGTCCTGCTTAGAACTTGATCAGGTGTGACGCTTAGGGGACACTGCTGATGGCAGCATGCCCCCACCCCAGGACATTTTCCTCCCTTTCTTTTCACTAAGTGCTTGGCTCTCAATTGCTAATTTCCAAACGAATTCTCCCGAGGCCTCGGGTCACCAAAGCAGCTCTCGGTGCTCGATCGGTTCCGACCTGGGACAGGGCGCGGATTCCAGTGTGAGGTCTGAGCTCTGCCCAAGAAACTGAGGCCATGGGCGACTCTCGAGGCTAGGAAACCTCGCTACTTTTATGGTCGGAATAACCACCTTGCTCGCACTGTCCCTGCCTGGTACGATCCGGGCTTACTCACCACCCCAACCTCACAAACACGCGGGGGGGGGGGGGGGCGGTGTCAGCTTTAGGAAAGCAGTACGGCAAGTTTCACACCGCCCTGATCCCCGGAGGGTACGTCCTCATGACAATCTGGGCTCCAGCCCGCTAATCACGGAAGAGGGGTCTGAACCCGCATTGCGGCACAGCAGAACCGAATCAACACCGACGCAGGCTCCAGGGAGCCCGGGCCCCGCCCACCCGTGCTGGGCCGCGGCGTCTCTGTGACCCGCAGACGCCCTCACCTGCGCTCAGCTGCAGCAGGTCTCCTCCGGCCCCGCCCCGACGGCATCACATGACCCGGTGGCGCGGCCAATCAGCGCAGCGCTCCGAGGCATTCGAATCAGTCGCGGGCCGGCAGTTGTGCGCAGGCCCGCTGGAGTCGGAGCTGCGTCTCGGGGGGTCCCCAGCGCCGCCATGGACGCCGCGGCGCGCTGACAGCCCATGGAGAGTCGCGGGGGGCCTCCCGGGCCCTACCGGGCCACCAAGCTGGTAAGGGCGCGGAACGAGGGCACGGCCCGGGGCCGACTTAGGGATGGGCCCGGGCACCTGGGGCCGGTGGGAAGGAGCGCGAGGACCCCCGGTATGCGGCTTTGGGGGCCGACAGCTGTGCCTGGGGTGTGGGGTCCCCGACCGTCACCTCGGGTGTAGGATGCCGACTGCAGCTGCTTCCATCGCTGGTTTTCCTCCCCGGAGGGCCGAGAGAGTAGTGGAGAACGGGCTCCAGAGCATGGGGGTCAGATCGGGCAGAACTCAGTAGGGGCTTCGTTGATTTCTTTTATTAGGCCTTGGAATGCAAGGCAGGGAGGACCCAGGCACACCATGATGTGCCCTTGCAGTGTGGCCTTGCGGTGCCCAGCGACTTCAGCCCTGAGGGACACGCTGCTGCCGGTTATGTGACCTAGATTCCCTAAACCTCCGATGAGACTCCGTCTCCCCGTGGGTGATGTTGCCACCCTGAGGGGTGTCCTGGGAGACACTGGGGTGACAGCGTGTCTATAGAGTAACAAGCAAGGCACCCTCAGGAGTGCCCTCTCAGTGTGAGCACGTGTGGGTAGCCCTACTTTACTAGTGTGGAAATTGAGGCTCAAAGAAGTTAAGTGACCTCGCCAAACCACGTAAACAATAAGTGACTGAGCTAGAAGAAGACAGATATTTCTGGTATGGTGACCTTAACAAGAAGTTCTCTGCTCAGTAAGTTATTAATTTTGTTTATCAATATCAGGAAGTGTTTATGACTGGAAGGAACCTTAATGAAGTAGTCCTGTCAACTTATTAAAAATCGATCACATTAATGTAGTATGAACATGCTGAACAAAAAAACATTTGCTAGCCATTAGTACCTTACACAATTGAAATCATTTTATCATTACTTATAAGCCAATTAGATATGTACTGTTGTCCCCTTGTTATAGATAAGGGGGCTGAGGAACAGAGAAGACACAAAAGTTTGTAAACAATAAGTGGTAAGGCCACAGCTGGGAAACCAACCCTAGTTGTCTAACAAATTTAGAAATTTGGGTAACTCAAGGGCAGTTTTTAACATACCATTATTTTTTAACATATAGATATGTTGCAGGCTCATTAAAGGGGATGGATTTACATCTGATTTATTTTACCTGTTTGTTTTATGTTCGCCATAGAAGCATCATAGAAGAGAGACTGCTAGAGACGGTTATTGAAGGCGTTTTGCTGGTATAATGACTTCCTGTCTGAAGCTTTGTTTGGGCAGCACAGAAAATAACAGTACAAAGTCTAGATTCTGTCAACCCTGGATTTGAGTGCCTGGTTCACCACTTAGCTGTGTGAGCTTGGTCAAACTAATGTCTCTGTGGTTGGTTTTCCTTATGTGAGACATGAGGTGATCCTAATACCTACTCACAGAATTGTGGGCGTTAAGGTGAAATGGGGAATATAAAGCTAAATGCTTGGCACAAATGCTACAAGCATATTACTAATACTACTAGAAATAAAAAACAGAAATATGAGAATTTAAACCGGTACACTGCAGTTTCTCTTCCTTCCTAGGTTTCCTACATAATTTGACCAGCCAATTACTGCCTGTATTAAAATTCTGTTGCTTAAAAATACTACTATAGCACTAAACTTACTAAAACAAAATCAGTGAGATATCAATTTTATGTTGCACAAATGAGATGATTTCTTCAAGAATTTTTACAATGTAATCAAATGTGTATTAAATTATTTTTGCATTTCAAATCAGTAAGGTTTCATTTTTGTTTACTTTTAACATGTTTTGTCTTTCTTTTGCAGTGGAATGAAGTAACCACATCTTTCCGAGCAGGAATGCCCCTGAGAAAACACAGGCAACACTTTAAAAAATACGGAAACTGCTTCACAGCAGGGGAAGCCGTGGATTGGCTTTATGACCTATTAAGAAATAATAGCAATTTTGGTCCTGAAGTTACGAGGCAACAGACTATTCAACTATTGAGAAAATTTCTTAAAAATCATGTAATTGAAGATATCAAAGGCAGATGGGGATCAGAAAATCTCGATGACAATAATCAGCTATTCAGGTACTGAATGGATGTATAGCTAAACAATGAAACTACAGTGTCATTTTATTTCCACTTTTACTATAGCAGCAGCTTCTTTTGAAAGGTGTTACTACCTCTTATTAATTCAGTTAATCCTTAGAACAGTGAGTTTATAGCATTTCAAGGACGTACCTTTACTGACCTTTAGATTCACAGGTGTGCAGTTATAAGACAAATCTATAGATCCTTACCCTCAAATAACATGTAACCTAATATAATCTAAAAATACATGTGATAAGAGAATATTAAACTTTAACAGATAACAGAGGAACTAAAGCGTAGGTGAAGGAGAATATGTCTTAAGCAGTTGTCTTACATCAGAAACTCTGCTTTGTGATTTCTGTGTTTCCTGTTTAATCCCTAGTATAGCTTCACAGGCTATTGTATCAGGCCTTTTCTACAGGCAGTGTGCCAAAACCGTGCATGACAGGTCCTGTCTTTTTGAAGTGTTCTCCCACCTTGGAGCACTGTACGCATTTTTCAGACGATGTAATAAACCTACACAGTTTGCATCTTGTATGAGGCATCCGAGTCTTCTGCTAGTATAATTGCTTTTCTCACCTCTGCTTACGTTCTTTGTTGTATGCCGTTAAAGTAGTACTGTGAATTGTAATGTCCCTTTTTTTCACTACTTTTTGAACAAAATAGCTCAGAAATTGATTTTTTTCTGTTGTGTTCATCCATTTTCTACTGCTATAACAGAATACCTGAGAATGGGTAATTCATTAAAGAAAATTCACTTGGGGTTTTGGTTCTGGAGGCCAAGAAGGCCATTACTGGACAAGGACTTCAGACAAGGCCTTGAGGGCCATTTTGCTTTGCTGGAGCAACATGGTACATGCAGAAGGCAAAACCCAAAGAGCACTCACATTTGGTGGTAGCTAATGCAGTCCTGCCAGAACCAGAACTGCCTCAAGGAAGGTAGGAATCCCTCTAACAAGCTATGCAACTTTGCATGGTCCTACCACCTCTGCCCTGTTCATTAGGAATGAAATTTCAGTGTCATTTCAGAAGAGACACACCATAGGACCTAAAAAACAGAAAAACATTTGCGTACTACAGTTGTAATAACAAGCATGTGAGTAGTCTGTCTGTATGTACTATATAGCACTTTATAAATCTTTCTTAATTACTCTTCAGTTACCTTGGAGGCTCCTTTGGAACTATTCATCCTTTAACTGTTACTCATCTCTAAATTTTGTTTGTCCTCACTTTTCCTTACGCCCTGGGCAATCTTATACCATGCCTACCTCCTTTTCCTGCTTTCCCAAACCTCCCACCCAAATTGCTTCTGAGTTTTAGATCCATTTTTTTCAACTGCTTGTTAGACGTAAAATATGGCATATAGAAAATCACTCTCACTCCCTAACTTAATGTTTTATTTTTTGCATCCCCTATCTAAATGAATATTGTCTTGGTTACTTTTCTCATTGCTGTGCTGAGACAGAATACCCAATGCTTAAAGTTAAAGAGAGGAAAGGTTTATTTGGCACACAGTTTGTGGAGGTTTCAGTCCATATTCAGCTGGCCCTCAACACAGGACGGCATGGCAGACAAGCATCAAAGAGGAGTAACAGTTCATGGTGAGCAGAAGGCAACAAAACAAGCAAGGGACAGCCACAGCTCTTTCTGATCCTTATATCTTATGCAGGCTACTTAGAGCTGATAGCATTCACACTCCTAACCCTAATGTCTTTGATCCTAGCATTGCACCATGAATCAATCCCAGCATTACGCTTGATCCAGCTACCTCAAAAAGCCCCACCTATGGCTGCATAAGGCTTTGGGAGGACATCTAGTCAAACCATAACAAATGTCTTCCTTCCCTATAGTTGCTTTTCCTTCTTTCCCTTTGTTCTCTCCTTTAAATATGATTATAAAACCTGTCTATAAAACTACCTTAGTATGTCTGACCAGACTCTTCTCTCTCCAATATGAATACTCTCTACTATGTTACTATTTTTTACATGGATTTGTGTATAACTCCTCAACTGGCCTTACTGTCGCTAGTCTTTTGTAATGAAGTACTCATAGGTAGAGCTCTCTGAAATTATATAACATCCTATTGGAGAAAATCATGATTGTTATTGAAGAAAATAAATGAAGAAAGATACCCTGATTACAAATAATTTTGTTTCACAAAAAATGTCTATTCCCAAATTGACATAAAAATCCAATGCCTTTTTTATCCAGTGCTCCAATATAGACTTTTATAGAATTTGACACCAATTTTGAAGAGTAAGGAGAATTGCCTTGCCCAATATCTGGGCTTAAATTAGCTCAAAATAATTAAATGCCAAGAAGCCAAATCTACACATATATGAGAATGCTGTGAATTATAAATAGCATGAATCCATAAGTACAAAAACAAACTCTTAAGGGAAAATGAATGCAAGAAAATATTTGTAAGACACTGGAGTAAGAATTTCTAATGTCAATAAAAGCTTATGTATATTAGAAGATACTGTGAAGTTAAAAAGAATAAGATGACATATTGCTAATGTTTATTGAAACTAAAAGCATTGCCAAGAAAGAAAAATGGTACTTATAAGTATCGGATTTACCTTAGGAAGTGAAAGGAAAAGAATGAGCAAAAAAGTACATTTACTTAAAAAACAATGAAATTTTTGATCAGATATCAACTATTTCATAACTTGGTGGTTGCATTTATGAATGTTCCTTTATGTTTCCTGTAGTTTTATATCTTTGAACTATTTCAGTATACCTTAAAAGGAAGCAAAAACAATTAAAATCAAAGGAGCAAGAGGAAATAAATATAGCCAAGTAAAAGGCAAATATATATGTAAACTAGATAACTAATTACAGAAACTGTCAAGGACCATTTTGTGCATAAGCACCACTTTCTCTAAAGAAATGATCCAAGGGGTTGGGGATTTAGCTCAGCGGCATAAGCACCTGCCTTGCAAGCAGGCAGTTGTGAGTTCGATCCCTGGTACTGATAAAAAGGAAAAAGGCAAAAAAAAAAAAAAAAAAAAAAAAGAAATGATCCAGTAGTGATCCAGAGTTGTTCATGAATAAAATTCAGATATCCAGGATATACTAAAGAAAGCAAGAAATTAATTTGAAGGCTTAGTGGGAAAATTGATTTGTATTCCTTAGTAATATAAATAAAACAGGTTTTTCATATGATTTTTTAAATTAATCAGCTATGAAAATTGTTTCTAATTTTAGGTTATTTAATTACATATTGTCTTAAAACCAGGTTTCCTGCAACTTCTCCACTTAAATCACTTCCACGAAGGCATCCAGAGTTGAGAAAAGGCAGCATCGACAGTTTTTCGAAAGACAAAGAGAATGTTTTTAAATTACGAAACTTGACTCGTAGAACTCCCAAGAAGCATGGCTTACATTTCTCTCAGGTAAAATGTTCTTCAGTTAACCACTAGTTTAAAATATAATTACCCTGTAGTTAAAAAGAGAGTCATATAAAACTAAATGATCCTTTACTATTTGAGCCCATACTAAAATACCCCAATGGATGTAACATTCTAAATATGCATGTGCAAATTCATTTGGAACCCATTGAAACAATGATAAAAATGACAGAAAAACATACTTGAAAATGGTGTTTGTATGATTTATGTGTGTTCTGTTAGGCTACTATTCTTCCTCATGTATTGGCTTTTGTCACCATGACAAAAGGCCTGAGGACACCTTCAAGCAAGGGAAGGTTTATTTTGGCTCATGGTTCTGCATCTCGTCAGCTGGCTCCAGTGCTGTAGGACCTGTACAAGGTGGAACAGGCTCATGTTTGTGGCAGGGGAAACTGCTCACCTCATGGCAGCTGGGGATAAAAGAGAAGCGGGCAGCGTCCAAGCGGCCTAACTTCCTGTCATGAGGGCCCCACCTTTTAAAAGTCCATCTCCCCCAAATACCACTACAGGCCAGGTACTAAGCCTTTGACACCTGGATCTTCTGGTGATGGTCAAGATCTAAACTGTCACAATGTAACTCCTCGACTGATCTCTCTGCATCTAGTCTTTTATAACAGTGACACAGCTGAAAAGTACAGTAGTACTTAATGTGAGCATAAAGAGTTAAACCAAAGTAATTCTTTTTTCAGGAAACTACAGAGAAAATAAATCATGAAATCAAAGAAGATCAAGAAAACTTAGGAGATTATAGAGAAATAAGCCAGGAGGATGTCGAAGAAGTTTGGAGATACGTTATTCTGATCTAGTAAGAAAAAACAAGCAATAATCAAGTTCCCAAAACATTTAGGTTATTTGACATTTCATCAAAATATGCACATGAATCAGAACAGATTAGTTCTCAAGGTTTAGAATTCAATACGTACATGTTTCCTAATAAATATTCTTGTCATAGCTTTAGTACTGTAAAGATAAAATATTTTCAGTATGATTTGCTTTTTCTTTGAATTAAAGTCATGGCTATAATTTGGAGTCTGTTTTGGAGCCTTTGACAGTTACAAGATTAGTATGTTGGAAAATGATTACTAAGTATTAAGCCTGAGCAGTTTGATTGAAAAGAATATTCTGATGGCTTTGTTTGCTAGTCATGCTCACATTTGCACTCTATTTTTATTTTGTGGAGAAAAAGTTTGTGTTCTTCTTTTCAGCCTGCAAACCATTTTGTGTGTACCATCCCTAGAAGAACTCATAAATCCAAACCAAGTAATTCCCCAGTACGTGATGTACAACATGGCCAACACGAGTAAGCGTGGAGTGGTTATACTACAGGACAGATCAGGTTGGTGCCACAGAAGCAGCTGGGAACTAGTCGAGCTGAGAGACAGACGGTGGCTGCAGTGGAGCAGAGAAAGACCCAGCCTAGAAAGGAGATTATTCTCACTGAGAACTGGCAGAGGGTCTGTCGTTCTGTCGTCATAGATGTCTTAAGTAATAACAGTGGAGGAATGTTAACTCGGTATTCATGCTGTTAGAAGAAATTATTTAGCTACTAGGATGGATTCATGCATGTTTTTAAATGGCAAGATTAAGCATTTCAAGAGTATACAGATATAATAAAAATTATTGGTCACTAACATTTGTGCTGAGGGCTTACTGTGTGCTAGGCATTGCTGAGGTTTAACAGTGAGTAAGACTCAAGTGGGAGGCCTTGTGAAATCATAGGCAAGCCACCCTGGATGTGTTGCCCTACTGACTCGGATCCAGTTGACTTCATCCCAGACGAAATGGCAGAGGGGTAGACAGAAGCAAAGTGAGAACGAACAGGAAGTCATTGCATTAAGAAAAATGTTTGGGATTCCTATCTGGACATCCCCCGAAACAACTAATCTAGTCTGGGAATGCCTAATTGTTTGGTGGATTGTGGATTAAGTCAAACTGAAGATCTCTTTTTTTCAAGCTTTTTGTATTTTAAAATACAAGCCTGACCCTGTCCTGTTGAAACTAGTAATTTTTAATACTGGTAATATACATACAGATATGCATATATGCACATAATTACATATATAACTGTGAAGTTTTAATAGATAATCATAAAAATTATGTGATTTACTAAACAATGTTTTGTTTTGTTTATATGTAGAAGACCTTCCTCACTGGGTGTTATCTGCCATGAAGTGCCTAGCAAATTGTAAGTAAAGCAATTTATTCATTTGTTTGTTTGTTTGTCTTTTTGAGACAGGGTCTCCCTATTTAGTTTAGGCTGGCCTTGGGCTCACTTTGTAGCCCAGGCTGGTCTTGAACTTGTGTTGATCCTCCTGCCTCAACCTCCCTAGTGCTGGTATTATAGGCGTTCACCACCATGCCTGGCAGTATAAATTTTTGACAATTTATAAGTAAAAGTCCTGATAAAATTTAAATGTACTATTCTCTTGACGTTTAAGTGAAAGTCTAGTAGACTCGGTTACACATGGAACCCTCAGTTGTTTTTTATACAGAAGGCGATATGATAATTGAAGCTTATCATTTATGGCTTAATTCACATAAATCATACAAGCATAGGCTGGAGAGTTTTAGGATCTTGGGTATCTGCACTGCAGTATTTGTCCCTGTGAGGCCCAGTGAGTCCACGTGGCAGCTGGGAGGTGAACTAGCTCGGAAGCAGGAAAGGCTCCCTGGGAAACCAGGCTTCCTAACGTGCACCCCAGCCTCCCTGTGCTTAAAAACCCGCTTCTGTTCTGTAGCACCTGTTTCCAGGGCCCTTGCGTTTATGAAGAGAAGAAGTGGTTGTCACTAATCCCCAGTCATTGTTCAGCCCTTTATTCATCAAGCTTTTTCATAGTGATCAGTGAAAGTTGATTTTCATCAGCTCAAGAACAAAAATCTAATTTCTTTCAAAATGAATTTTAGAAGTTTATAAATATGTATGTTTCTGAATCATCAAAAGTGAGGTCACATTTTAATAGTTTTAGTTGGAGATACAATTTTCTGGTTCTTTTAAAATTAGTATTTAAAAAATACTAATGGGGTTTTATTAATGTTCAGCATATTTATTCCTTTATTGTTCCCTGAGTGTCAATCTGACAGACCAACAGAATAAGTACTGAAGTTACCAAAAGTTAGTATGAGTTAAAAATGAAGATCCTGATCCTCAGCTTAGGACTTTTAAACTTCTCTTCCTGCCTTCCCTAACTGCCTTTTTATTCTTCTGAGGCTCACGGATAACAATTCATGAACACACTAATCGGGATTTCCCTGACATCTATCTTTAAAATCTGTGTCTTTCCTTCTCTTCACAAATGGTTCCAAATATACAGCTCGCCATGTTTTAACCAGAGGCACTATTAAGACTTTCACTTTCCTAGGAATGCTGTAAGGCGGAGGAATCAGTAATCAGTGTGCTGTCCTGGTTCTGTTTTTTTCCAGACGAAGAAAACCAAGACTTAAGTCTCCTTTAATGCCAAGAAGCCAGAGCTCAAGCCCCAGTTCTCTAGCTGTCAGTCCTGTTTCCACTGAGCATGTTTATTGGGACTTAGGAAACTTTCCAGTGATTGTCATGTACATTATTCTATGTATTGAGAATATTTTTATGTCCTCCTTAGAAAAATATGTACTTTATATAAAATTCATATAGACTTTTGCAACCATACAAAAGTATGGAGACAGATTATTTGCCTCAAGGAAGAAAGATTTTAACTTGACAGAATAACTCTAAAACGTGAATACATTTTGGTCACTAGGAAGACTGTCCAAAAGGATTCTGATTGCACCAATTGTAGCTGGTCAAGGATTTTTTAAAAACTATGCCCAGAGGTTTCTTATAATGAAGATTGCTAAGTTTCTGGTTCATCTTGATGGAGTCTAGTCTGTGTTCAGATTTGTATATTTAATAGGTCACTGAATAATTCTGGTAATATTATGTAATGAATGGACCGTACTTCAAATGTTGTTGAACCTGAAAACTTCACTGCTCTAAGTACTAACTTTAGCTTCACTATCAAGGACTTTTCTACCAACAAGTTACTCTGAGCTTCAGTTTCCTGATATATACAATTTGGTCAGGTCTTGTTTCTAAGACCTGATTCTTTCCATAACCACAGTAAGCTTAAGAAACAATACTGAGGCAGTAATTATTTAAATTCGTTAAATAATTTAATGAATTTAATTCATTAATTAATCATTAATGAATATTTAAATTCATTAAAGATATGCTTCATGTCAGGATAACTTAATTCATAAAGTTATAAATTTACAAAAGATAATTTGAAGAATTATTTGCATAATTCATAAATCTTTGCCTTACAAAATGAATTACAGTAAAATCTTATTAAAATAGATTTCCCTAGTACTTTTAAAATGTATTAAAGAATTTGCTTTATACATGATATTTCAGATGTTAAAATAATCAAGTAAAACCATGTGCTGGCATTTGCCTGGTAGGTGGGATTCCTGGTAAGATGCTAGTGACCTGTGCACATTTGTTAACTCCCCATGAGACGTAAGCTACTTTTTTAAATTGTATTTAAGGTAAAATATATTTTGCTTGGGTTTTTTGGGGTTTTTTTGGTTTTTTTTTTTTTTGCCTTTGACTTTTTAGGGCCAAGAAGCAATGATGCGTGTCATCCAGCTTACGTTGGCTTTGAGCGAGATGTGTTCAGAACAGTTGCTGATTATTTTCTCCATCTCCCTGAACCTCTACTTACATATGAATATTATGAATTATTTGTGAACATTTTGGGTATGTATGCCTTTTATTTTATTCAAATTCATTTCGTTAACATTTTCAGTTTTCCTAAAATTGGAAAGAGGTAGCACTACAGGTGAATGTGAAATGGCTGGCTGTGTCCCTTGTGCTAAAATTCAGTGACACTGTAGTCGCTGTTCTGTCTTGTTTTCACATGGCTTGGATGCACGGTTCCCACACCATTAGGACCGGCATCTGCAGTATTCTGCTCTTTCCTGTTGAAATGCTGACTCCCAGGAGCCAACCACAGCTCAGGGGTTTAGTTCCACCAGGTTGTCCTCAACTCAAGGCGCCAACTGTAAGCCAGGCCCCAGGGTTCCTGCAGACCCCTCCCCGTTCACTGTAGCCGCTCAAGGGATTCAGGAGTGAGCTTTGGTGGCTCTGATCAGTTATCAGGCCCAGCCATGGGAGAAGTGTACACAGAAGCATTTGGAGCGAAGCACAGAGCCTTGGTGTCCTCTCCCCGCTCATCACGGGGCGTCTACCCAGCAGCTCCCTGGACCTCGATGGTCCAAGTTCTGCTCAGGTTTCACTCCCCAGGCACCTCCCGTCTCAGGCGGGGCTGAGCAGTCCAGGCTAAGCTTGCTGGCCGCACATGACCTGAGCAGCTGCTCAGCTGTGCCCCAACAAGAGTTCCCAGCCGGGAGCCCAAGATTGTAGCGAATCCAGGCCAAGAATTCCCTCAAGGTGCACACCAGACACAGATACCTTGGGGTTTCCTGTCTGTGATTTTCATACATGTGAATCCCGCAGTTGAGGGTCAAAACCATTTATTTTTTTAAAAAAGTTGCAACTGTATCGAACATGAGTATGTACAGATTTTTTCCCATTCTTAAAGTGATACTACTTATACTGTATTATAGGGGATCTATTCATACTGTATTATTATAAGGAATCTAGAGATGATTTAAGTGTGAAGGGATATGCCTGGGATACATGTGTTTATTATACCATTTTAGATACAAGACTTGTATTTTGGTGTTTCAATACCTATAGGGGGTCCTAGGACGATTTCCCATGGTTCCTGGGGATGACAGGATATGTTCTCTTACATCATAGTTGTCTTACACCTAAGATATTTCTAGTGCTTACAGAACGAGAGCAGGTATTTTTAAATGTATTCGCACTCAATCCATCTAATCGGGCTGAATTTTTTAAGTTACTTATATCACAAATGGGAAAACCACTCGCCAGTCCTGCACGTTTATAACCAAGTGTTGTGCATGCGTGCTATTTCAGTGGCTTCCAAATTAAGCAGCTTCTATTGATACTATACTAACAATATATACTATTGTGATGCTTTATTTTTTCACTTTTTTGTTTTTGTCCACTGTCACACAGTTGCATCTTAATTTTTGTTTCATTTTCTGGTAGTTGTGTGTGGCTGCATCACAGTTTCAGATAGACCCAGTGGGACACATAAAATCCAAGACGACCCACAGCCTTCAGAAACCCTTCACCTAACCAGTTCGCATTCCTTCAAGTCCACTGAGTGTCTTCTTCTCAGTCTGCTTCACAGAGACAAAAGCAAAGAAGACTCAGACTTTCCCGAGAGACTCCAGTTAAGTGATCATGGATTTCAAGAAGGACATGCTAAGAAAATGCAGCTAGTTAACCTAAGAAGCAGAAGAGTCAGGACCAGGGATGGGATGGGAGGAAGCTGTCACAGTCTGACAGGCTTGAGTAGCTCACGTGCTCTATCCGCTAGCATCAAGCCAAGGTGCTCGTCTTTGGAGGGAATTGTAGATACACCGGGCTATTCCTGTGCCAGGGTGTCCAGTGCTTTCCAGCACTCTGTTCTGAGTGCAGTACGACACAAAAGCGAACAGTGTTTAGAGTCAGAGCCCAAACAGGAGTCCCTGCTGGATCTGCATTCAGGGGGAAGGACTCACAAGCCACTCTGCAGTGGCGGCTTCAGAAGAATTTCTGCTTTGACTGTCAGAGACCAAGAGGAGTCTGGTTCTGGGGACTGCAGGCCCCAACCACTTTGCAGGTCTCAAAGTCTGCTGTTAAGGAGTAGCTCAAGACGGAACAGCTATGTAAATACACCCGTGGCGGAAGTCGTCATGAAACCAACTCTTGGACATGGCAGCACAAGGGTGCACAGAGCCATGGAAAGTGAACTCAGGGAGGATTGTGTCACAATCAATAAAAGACTGTGCAAAAGTACTGTAGAACTCTCAGAAAACTCTTTACCTCCAGCTTCTGCTGTATTGACTGGCACACAAAGTAAGGTCATTGCTTTCCGTGCATGCGGTACTAACTTCTAGTGTTCACTAACGCTGCATTTTGCTTTTCTGCACTTGGCTTTTCTTCTCCAACACTGCTTTACTTATTTCTTGCAAAAGAAATTATTATAAAAGTCTAATCATGACATATCAAAGATTTATTCTATGCCCTTAAAACACCTGACCTTTCTTGTAGTCTCGCTTATTTTAAGTCATTTTGTTTGTAGTGAGTAAAGGATTTTAATACATAGAAATAGGTTGTGAAGAAAATAATGAAAATCTAACTATGGTTTTGAAGAAAGTGGAAATTTCTAGAAATAGTTAAATGCAGAGGTATTACTTTACACTCTCACATGATGGCATTGCTGGTCGTGTGAAAGCCGCTGTCGTCACTGATGATTTTCTCCCGGTGACTGCTTCAGGCCTGCTGCAGCCCCACCTGGAGAGGGTCGCCGTCAGTGCGCTGCAGTTGTGCTGTCTGCTGCTTCCCCCGCCAAACCGTAGGAAGCTCCAGCTCCTCATGCGCATGATGGCCCGCATGAGTGGAAACGTGGACCTGCCCATACTGCACGACGCCATGGGCACAAGGGCGCTGGTAAGCCCCTTTCCTGTGGGGGAGTGAGCTCTGGTACAAACACCTCCCCCACAAACAAGCAAACAAGCACAAATTAACCCTATTTGACTGTACTACTCAAGTGACATCTCAGTCTTGAGCCTCTAGATCATCCTTGGGTCAGGAAGTCGTGAAGTCTCATCTCCCCTAGCAGCAGAACTGGAGTCGATCTGTCACACTTTCACACCCGCTGTTAGTCCTGATAGAGGACTTGCCTCATTCATTCTGTGGCTGACCCAGACAGACCAGGTCAGCAGGTCTCCTGTCGGTCTGTCCGGTGAGAAGGCAGGAGGAGATGGAGTACTGCTTAAGGTGAAGGCTGAAAGTAGAAAATGACGGCTAGTCCTTGTGTAGTAAGCCACACGTTCCCAGGCTGTGGTCGCAGGAATGTTGTATTTGACGAGCTCTTAGGGTAGCAGGTCCTTGTGGAGGAGGGTCAAGGACAAGGAGCCTCTGGCTCCTTGAGAGAAGAGACAGCCTTTTCTGTGTAGGCGCTGACAGGAAATGAACCCTTGAAATAGCCCCACACACACATGCCTTCAGCAGCACCAGGAATAGTGAGAGACCAGGATTCCACTTCCAGAATAGTAAGGAGTCTGGCGTGGTGCTGGGTTTTCCCGCTGCCCGTATAGACAGTCAGGAAGGTCTTTAACAGTGACAGTCCTGACATAGAGGACAGTCGTTCTCCAGGGATTGCAGCACTGGGAAAAAGCATAGGTTTGTAAGGGAAGAGATCTTGAGGGAATGAATCAGGAGGTGACAGCTTTGGATTTACACATTCTGCTTGTAAAGGTGTGGGACGTCCAGGTGAAACATACCCCAGGAGAATATTGGAAAGGGGAGCCAGTGAACGAAAGGTCCGGGCAAAAGGCAGCTTCCGAGTGATCCACACAGAGATGATAGCAGGAGGTGTGAAAGCCAGTGAATTCTACGAAGCTAAGAATATACAGAAAGAGGAAAAGGCTGAGATGAACCTAGGAACTAGAAAGGAGCATCTGCCCAACATATGCTAAGAAACACTCCGAACTCACCATGTCTCCTCATCAGCTACTGTGGGAAGAAGCAGTAGAGTTCTAATGCTCCAGTCCTACAGTGAGGTGCGGAGTGTGGTTCGCTGCTGGTGTGGCTGTGAGTGAGAGTGGTGAGTTCTGAACCACAGTTTATCCCAAGTTTTAAAGATCCTTATGATACAGCTGAAAAATGTGGGCATTAAAGTAAGCATTTAACACTATCTTACGTAGTTTCACATGATGAATAATGTGAACTTTACAACCTCTGGTGAGTGTGTTCTCTGTATGTTGCTTTTCTGTTTGCTGTTTAGTGGAATTTATTTCCTGCGGTAAGTCCTCATTCTGCATGAATCCACACAGTATTAATAGAGCTTGTGGTGTGATGACACTGACAGAATTAAAAGGCAAAGCCTAATAGAACCCTTTTGAATTCTGTTAAATACTGAGAAGTACTTTTAAAAGGACTTAAGTCTAATAAAATTCTTAATCTTTGTAACTAATAAATTGTTGTCCTGAGCTTTAAACTGGAATCTGCTTATCACTTTATCTCAGTACATCACCTAATGCCGTCTGGAAATTACAGACATGCGGATCTGTGCGACACCTTGGGTGTTTCAGTTTGGGTCCCCCTGCTCTCTCTAGATGATACACACTTTTTCCCGGTGTGTGCTGTGCTGTGCAGAAGAAGTGGACCTGGACGAACTGCTTGCTGCAAGATTAGTTTCCTTCCTAATGGATCATCAGCAGGAGATTCTTCAGGTGCCCTCTTACTTGCAGGCCGCAGTGGACAAACAACTGGACTGCTTACAGAAGGGCCAGGTAGGTACTGGGAGTCTCACAAATCCCCCTTCCTCATTTGCAGTGGCAAACTCGTCTCAAACCAGCTCTATCACAAAAGACCAGCTCAGCTAGAGTCTAGTCTACAGTCAGGACTATGGACAGAATCTGAGGCTCCAAGAGCTCTAGGGCTGTTCCCAGCTTTCCATGGCTTTTCCATCCATTTCTGTCCTGTCTTTACCAAGTGGTTCCTTGCCATGGCGAGGAATGTGGCTGCAGTCCGTGTGGCAGGGTCTCGGGTTTGCAGTCCAGAGGAGAAGGAGCTGTCTGTGCCCCTTGGATGTCAAAGGTATAGGCGCAGACTCTTGGTTGGCCCGGCCTAGGTGCAACATGCAGCCTCCAGGTGGCTAGAGGTGAGTGGGACAGAGCAGGGCGCATGTTGTGCTTGGCTGTCACCAGGTCAGAGCAGGACATGCATGTTCTTCAGAGGAGGTGAGGGCAGAGGCGCAGGGGGAAGGAACTGTAAGCAGAGAACAGGAAAGCTGTAGCCAGAAAGCACCCAGGGCGACCCTGCTGGTCCGGGCCAGCACGGTGTCTGTGCTTCTCCACTGAGGCCCCTCCCTGCAGCTTTCCCCTGCTGGCAGATCTGTATGCTTTGCCCGTTCCTGGAGGCCTTGAAAGCACAACTGAGCACTTTATTAAGTCAGAATACTGAAGTTTTAAGATGAAACCCTGCTTAAATTGTTAACTGTCCTGTAGTTAAGCGCATAAAATCCATAGCTAAGAAAGGATAATAGCTGCCTTTTCCATGCACTTCTGTGCGATCCGCACTACATGTATGTTTTCCCATATCGCTTCAGTTTTAAGGACAGGAAACAGACCAAGGAAGTTAAATAACTTGCTGAAGGCTACCAAAAAAGTAGCAAGTTTTAGAGCTGGAATTTAGAGCCTCCTGAGTTATGACTGCTTTAGCGCATAGCATGGTTTTCTGAGTGCCTGGAGTTATTATTGCTGCCAGGGTAGTAGGTGCGAGGTCTCACTAGGGGAGCACCACTGAGCATACGAGCGTGAGCAGAATAACGATTTTACCATCTTCCTGGTTCACCGCAGATCACCGGCCCCGGGGACGGACTCCTCGCTCCTCTGCCGACTTTCTCTTACTGTAAACAGATCAGCACCCAGGAGTTTGATGAGCAGAAGGTTTCTACCTCTCAGGCTGCCATCGCAGAGCTTCTGGAGAGTCTCGTGAAAAACAAGAGTTTACCTCTGAAGGAAAAACGGAAAAAACTGAAGCAGGTAAGAGCGCAGGAAGCAGCTTCTCACTCACATAGTTATTTTCTGATATGCCTTAACAGTTGCCACTTAATAACCCTTAGAGTAGAATTTCTTTTAATATTTTGAATTTTACGTTTGAATATATGGGCTGTATACAGTATTATGCAACAGCATACATGAAGCTGCTAATAAAGCATCGAATGCCTACCTGAACTACACTCTATCCTGAATTTTAAAATAATTACAATAATGGGTATGTCCTGTGTTCCTGGTGTTTTGTATGATTACATCATGAATTAGTCTAGGAAAGCAGTCATGCAAGCTGGATTATAACACAGCACATATCTCTGGGTGATTCATCTCTGCCCTTTAGAAATTTTTATTCTAAGGCAAAACTCAGCATTTGCATGACTGACAGGAATTCGTTTGAGACACTCAGAGAAATATGAGCTGTACCAGCTCCTTGTGACCTTCACGGGCTTTTCCAAGGGGAGCGCGGCCCTGGCATTTAGGGGAGTAGCTGGCAGGAGGGGACAAGTCCTCAGTGACTAAGGAGATCCCCATCCAGCAGAGCACTAAGGGCTCTGACGGTGTGTGTACCATTCGCAGGGGGAAGGCGAAGGGGAGGAAGGGAAAACGAGGGTGCGTCCTCCTGTTTCCCGTCTCCCTGAGAAAATCACTTATGAAATGTTGAGCATTGCCTGCAGCTAAGGAAATAATACTTAACACCTTCTAACTCCTCCCTGTGTTTTAAGTTTCAGAAGGAGTACCCCCTGATATATCAGAAGAGATTCCCAACCACAGAGAGTGAAGCAGCGCTTTTTGGAGACAAACCTACCATCAAACAACCCATGCTGATTTTAAGAAAACCAAAGTTTCGAAGTCTGAGATACTAACTTAATTAAAAATTATCTGACACCTGTGAAACTCTAGTACATGAAGCCATATCTCAGAGTCCAGCTCCAGGAGGGAGTCTGTTGTTAATAAGTTTCCCTAAGTAAACAAATTGTGAAGAGGAGCCATATAAGCTGACTGCTAAGAAGCTGTGTCTCAACCCAGGAGGTGACAGTAGGTGATGTATCCCACAACTATCTGGATAATCTATCATGGTCGTACTGAACTTTATTCAGTGAAATCTTGAAAACTGATCATCAAGAATAATTCTGTTCTGCTCATGTGCGTAAGGCTGTTAGCTGAGGAGCTAGTTGTTAGGATTACTTTGCTTTTGAGTGTAAGATAAGACTGTTTGGAAGCACATTGAATTTTTAACTGCTAAATGTTGCACGCTTTTGTATGTTCCCTTTCACCTTTCGATCTATTTATGTGTGTGTGTGTTTTAAGTATCTACATAAAATTTTTTTTTGCCTTAAACATTATCCTGCATTATTCACTCTTTGCCCTCTGAGTGTCATTTGAAATCTTATGTTCATAACCTAGAGTGATAGAGATGAAAAAGAAGTACACCAGGCATTCGTGTTTGTTCAGAAATCTAGCAGCTGCTCGGTGCCTGGCAATGGTACATCAGTAATACTCCCTAATGTATTTGTATTTTAATCGAGGGCTTAACGCAGCACTCATGAAATCCAGGCACGGGGAGTCCCTCTGCAGAAGACGGACTTCTGTGACTGTGGGGCAGTTCTAGAGGCCCAGGGCCCAGGCCCTCGTTATCCCAGTCAGTTCTCTGTTTTAGGGCTGTTACCTCGGCCCTGGTGCTTCTTTTAGCTCAGGAGGGGATTTAGATACTCTTTGAGGCTCAGTGCCCCAAATGCTTTTTACAACATTTAAGAAAATGCCAAGCTGATGGCACACGGATTTTATTTTTCATTGAAAAAACAGCCAAGTGTAAATGTCTGTCCTGGATTCCCGCGCGATTGATTTGGTACATGTGTGAAATAAGTTTGTCTTTTTTGTTTGTAAAGTATAAAGAAATATACATGTAACAGACTCTGCTTAATGACTGTCTTGATTCTCTTTGTAATTTTATTTACTATTGACAAACAGTGATAATGTTCCATTTAATATTATTTTATTAAAAATTTGGACAGCAAACAATAAATGACAAATGTGCCTTTAATCCGGACCCTTCCCTGTAAAATTATTGGGGCATATTATAATTTGAATTCTTCCTGAGTATTCTTTGCATGATAAAACTTCCTTCATGATAAAGGTATGAGACAATGTGAATTATGTAGCAAATTGATATGAAAATTTACATTTTTAACAATTTAATGTTGCTTTTTTATTAAGTATTTAAATATTAAAAATGGTAAACTTTCATTTACATGAGTGTACATGCAGTTGAGATTAGGAAATACATGGTCCAGATGTTTAATAACATGAAATCTGCCTGAATTTCTTTATCTGTAAAATGAAGATATAGCACTTCTCTAAGGATTATTGTGAAGATTAAGATAATGCATGCAGAATATTCAACACAGTGTCTATCACAGAATATGCACTCTGTAAATCACTAGCTATTCATATTAGAATCACCTAGAAATATAACACGAAGAGATTATCAAAACTATATTCCCCTCTTGTTTTATACAGACATGAAACAAAATAAAACTGTGCAGTTGATGGTCGTATTTTTTTTTACAAAGGTTCTGATTGAACACACTGGTTGAAATGTTTTAATAAGTACAGCAGGACTCTGGCGATGAAGGAAAGCAGGGACTGGACAGGAAGCAGTGTCCTGGAGCATGTGGGATCCAGCACGGAGTGGAAAGCCGCCTGTGCTAGAGACAGATTCCATTCCAGAAGAAAGAAAGGCAGAGGCTTTAAATTCAAATACGGGGACCTGGTTATTAGATTTGATCTCAGCTGCAGGCAGAAATTCCCTTCTGATTGTTTTTGCTTTCTTAGGAAAACAGGAATCAGAGAGGTGCTCCGGAGTGTAAAGTGGAGGTAGGTAGTGTGTTGCACATTTAAAGAAAAACTGCTGGCCATGGTGCCACACACCTGTGATCCCTGGGAGGCTGGGGCAGGAGACCAGTGGTTCACAGCCAGCCTGGCTGCGTGGCAGAAGCCTAACTCAGTGGAAGGCAGGTGGGAGGAGTGACGTTCTCTCCAGTACCTGCTGCTTAATCACTGGCCATTTTCTCACATTGCCTATTACTTAATAGTGGAAAGCACATGCTATTTCCAAGTGACTGCTTTTCTGTCTTCAGGAAAGAAGCTGAGTTTTCCACCCATAAAACATGAGTAAAAACATCCACATAAGCAGGTTGCTGTCAGTGAAGGCAGTAAATATTTTTGCATTGGTCAGCTTTCTGTTTCTATAACAAGGAGCTGACACAATCAGCTTACAGAGAGAAAAGCTCTCACACTTGGGCTCACTGTTTGGGGCTTTTCAGGCCATCACTGAGGGGCCCTGTGTTTCTGGGGAACACAGAAGGTCATGGCAGGGCCTATTGACTTCACTGCCAGAGACTATAAGAAGACAGGACAACGTCCCTGTCACTTTCAAGGACACAGTTTCAGCAACCCAAAGACCTCCCCACTGGATGCCCCAGCACCTGTCCAGGGAGCCACAGCTTCAACAGGGCCTTCAGAGCACAGTGAAGGCCCAGCCTACAACATCGCAATCTCAGCTTAGAAGACCACACTCCCTTGTTAAGTTCATCTGGCACTGAGCTCAAGATCTCTACTGATTAAAACTCCATGTGCTTGTTTCTCGCCTTTCCTGTTCCATCAGTAGGGTGAGATGAAAGCTCTGACATTTTATATCCTGGTGATTATCAACAGATTTAACCACCTTTTGATTCTGAAGCTGAACTGTGGATGTTACTACTCAAACATCTCCAGGAAAGATAAAGAATAGCTTAATATTGAACTAAATTGGAATAAAGTCAAGCAACAAATCTAACAGCTCTACACAAACTAAAGAAAACCAACATACAATGTTTTATTAACCTTGGCTAACAGTGTTGTTTTCCTCAAAACTAAAAAGGTATGAACATTTGAGCTGTTCATATGTTTTCCTAAAACTTCTTCAAATGAGCACTGAGGAAATAATGTGTAATACAAGGTAACTTTCACTCATAGAAAGTGTTGCTTTCACCTAACTTTACATGTATTGGTTGAACTCTGAAATCTCTTCACTGCCATCAGTAACTAGAAAACCAAACAGGATATACAGAGCAACGATTTTCAGCACTAAACTACTGTAATGCAGGGTCATGAGTCTAAGAAAAGCAAAACAGAAGAACGAAAAGTATGATTGTCCCAGGTTACAGCCTAGAAGTAGTTGTCAGGCAGAGCAACCAAAATAAAGCTGATGGGTCTTGCTGCATTTGAAGAAGTCTGAGAGGACTGAGAGGACCGAGATGAGTGCAAGGTGACTAGAAGGTTGCTACGGCAAAATAAACTCCAGAGATCTGTAGGAAATACTAGAGGATTTGAGGGAGGGGCTGGTATTAATTTGCATGGAATGAAAGAAACCACTGGTGATTAAGGAGGCTGAGGAAAGACTGTGGGAAACCAGTAAACCAAACAATTCTGGACCTCAGGGAACTGAAAAGGGTTAATATCCTCCCCAGCACAATGGAAGGAGCCTGAGACCCACAGGAAGCTGGTGTTACTCTGCAGGACTAAGCTATTAACAAGGACAAAATAGGATAAAAGCAGCTATGATTCACCTTAACATCTTCAAAGAAAGCCTCAAAATGTCTTAGTTGATCTTCAGGTAAGTTGTGTGCCAGAAAGAAGTTCAACAGAAAAAGGAACAAACTCCAGCATTCAGCACAGTAAAAAGCCTAACTGATGGGTATCCAAGCAAAAATTACCATACGTGCTAAGAAACAAGAAAAATTAACCAAAAGAAATGTACCTTGAAATCGGACTAGAATGAACAGAAACAAATTTTAAGGAGGTGTAACCGTTATAAATACTCAGATAAGGAAATTGACAATATCATGATAGAAATGGAAGATATAAAAAACAATTTCCTAGGATGAAATATGAAAATTACAAGTGGTGAGATTTAGAGCAAATTAGAAACAGTGGAAGAAAAGTTCTAAGAATTGGAAAATAGCAATAGGAACTATTTAAAGTACAGGAAAAAGAATAAACAGTTCTGTATGCTGTGTAAGAATATAAAGCACAATTGGAAGTTGGAAAAGAGCACAAAGGGGTAGGACACAAAATTACTTGCCAAAAATAGTTGCTGAATATGCAAAAGAATATAAGCCCACAGAAGCTAGAGAAACCACAAGCAAAAAGTAAAACTCCACACCTAGGCACATATAATCAGGCTGCTGAAAAACAGCAATAAGAAGAAAAATCTCACAAATTTCTATAGAAAAAGCATACTGAATAGCCAAAAATAAACACAACAGTGGCCCTTCATCTTACATACAGAAAAACCTAGATTCTGCTTAAAAGAACTCTTGGAACTTATAAATGATTTCTGTAAAGTTGCAAGATACAAAGTCAGCACACACACACACACACACACACACACACACACACACACACACACAAAAGCAGTAGCATTTCTATATACCGGTAACAAATTAGCTGAAAAGAAATTTTTAAAAATCCTATTCACAATACCTATATGCACACACAAATACCATGAATCATTTTAACCAAGGAAGTGAAAATTTGCCATAATGAAAAATATAAAACAAGTTCTAGAAAACATGCCCACAGATTGCAAGAACATTGTTAAAATGTCTATATTACAGAGATCTGCATATGCAATGTAATCTTATTGACATACTAAAGACTTTTTCACAGAACTAGGAAAAAATTACAGAATTTATATTGGACCATAAAAGACCTAGTATCACCAAAGTCCTGATGGAGAAAAAGATTAATGGTAGAGATCTCAAATATCAGGCTTCAAAACACTCCACAGATATACTAATCAAAACAACGCGCTACTGACAAAAGCAAACACATGGGCCAGAGGAACAGAATAGAAAATTCAGAAACTAATCCATGTGTTTATAGCCATCTTAGTTACTGCTCTCTCATTGCTGAGACAAAATACCTGACCGCCAACATTAAAGGAGGAAAGCTTTACTGGGCTCACAGCTTACAAGGGTTTTGGTCCTTAACTGGCCCGTCCAAGGCAGAGTGGCAGCCTCAGAAGAGAAGCAGTTCATGGTGGCAGAAGACTGCAGAAGCAAGCAGCCAAGAGGAAGAGAAGATTCTTTCTGTTCTTTTAATTGGGTGCAGGCCACTCAGTCTCGGGTGGGTGTAACACTCACAATCTCAGTCAGAAGTATGCCAGACCCATGATGGACTGGTTTACTTATCACACATCCTTAATCCCAGCACCACACACTCTAGACTCAGCCACCTCTGGAAAAGCCCTATGACTGTGTGAGGCTTTGGGGTGACATCTAGAGACAAACCGTAATGATAGCCATTTGATTTTTACAAAGATACATTGGAGAAAGGACCGCTAAAGGGGAAATGTTACATACATGCAGAAAAATGAAACCAGACAACTTGCCTCCTCCAGTGTACAAAACTCAAAATAGGTCAAGAACCGAAGCATAAGACCCAAAATTATTAAACTACTAAAAGGAAAGACAGGGGAAATACCCTAAGACATGGGAATAGGCAATGTTTTTTTATATAAGACTCCAAAAGCACAGACAAAAACCCAGATAAAAGAGATTATGCCAAATTTAGAAACTTCTTCACAGTAGAGGAAACCAGAGAATTAAGAAGCAATTCGCATACAGGAAAAGATATTTATAAACTATTCATGTTGTGACTGAAATTTTGAAATCTTAAAACTCATTAGGAGCCAGGTATCGTTTGGAACAAGACACACTCATCCTGCCTGCCACATAGCTACACACAGCCTCGACTGACTGTGTCCAGCTGCTTTTCATAGATAGCCTGATCCAGGTCAGCCTGACCACGTTCAGTTCAATGTCTGTGTTTTTCCACCTAAAAATACATCCTATTTGTCTAACATATTTCAAGGACTTTCTACCCAGAAACAGATGATGACTAACCCAACCCAATAAAAACCCACCAGGCTTTTAAGTTTCTGTACTTCCTGCTTGCAAACCTATGATAAACCAAACCCCA